TAAAAATATGATAATTAAATAATGATATTTTTTTACTCATGAGGATCTTATTAATAAAATTTTAACGCGAGTATTCTTCCTTATTTTTTATATTTTTTTATAATAAAATTTCTACTAAGTTTTACACAAGGTAGGGCTTCTCCAATTTCGGATGAAGTTTTAAGCATAAATTTGGCAGGTAATTGAGTGTCTGAAGGAACTTCAAATTTTACTTTTATCGTAACTTTATCATCTTTACTGAAAAAACTACTACCATCCCACAATGATTTAACTATCTCCCTTTTCATTATATAAGTCAAGACCATTTACTTGATTTATTATCGAGTTTTTTACTTTTTCCAGAATTACTTTAATCTTGTCATCCTTTACCAAAATTTTACCAGTTTTAGGAGAAATGAATTTATATCCTGTGAACGGAAAAGAAGGAAAAGATTTTATTAAATATATATATATATATATATATATATTAAAAAAATAAAAAATAAATAAAAACTTACCTTTACATTCAGAATTAAATGGAAAATCTGTATAATAAAATAAAGGAAATAGGTAGAAAAGATCAATTTTAAAAGAAAATAAAATGATTAAAAAAGATCAATTTAAAAATGAAAGAAAAGAAAAGAAAAAAGAATAAGTTATATTGAGGTTTATGAATAGCTAGAGCTGTTACTTCATTGAAAAATGTGATTAAAGAGAATAATAAGAGAATTGAAATAAATGAATTGAATTTGATAATGGTATTCATTTTATAATTTATTTATTTTTTTTTTGTTGGTGGAAAGTTCTTATATTTATTTAAGTTGTTTTTTTTTGTTAGAAGGTTAACGGTGGAAAGTTCTTATATTTATAAAGTTTTCGTATCTAATGAATAGATTATCATTAACAAAATAAAGAAGAGATAAAGATACAATTATCTAGACTATTTGCGAGTATAAAATGATCTTTCTATTTTATTACTTAAATAGATTGGTTGGCAGAAAGCTTAAAAGATTTTATTTAAAAAAAAATTTTTTCTTCTTTTACATATTTTTTTTGATTCTAATAATTTTTAATAACTAAATTGATTCTAATAATTTGTAATATAGACTGAATTTAATTCTTTTTGTTATACGTCAATTTTAAATACCCTGACGATCACTAATAATTTTTGGTCAGGATTGGTGCACAATTTTGATACAGTGATTTTCTTAAAAAACACCCGAATATCATTAAGGATTAGAATTCCATATTATAATTATGGTATAAGACCTAAATAATTTTATCACACAAAAAGTGTAGGATTAACTCAAGAAAAGGATTGTGCAAAGAGAGTTGAATTGCCTTAAGATAAATTTGTTATTACGAAAACCCATATATAGATAGTTATTTCAGAGCATCTTCAAAAAAATTGGGTAAAATGCTTATTTATAATAATTACACATGATCATTATATTATTATATTCTGATATAAATCTTGCAAATGTTTGAAATTAGAATAGATGTGAAAATAGATCATAGAAAATAAAATTATAGAACAGTGATAAAAATGTGCCTTTTTTATTTAAGCTAAAAGTTTGTAAAAACAGACAATTTT